AGTCAACCATGTGGGGATCAGGTGGACTTAAGCGCCCCTGGTCATGAGAAATAAAAACTAATCAAATACGGATGAAAACACAGTGAATGTAAAATAATTCAATAGGAGGGAAAACGCCTTTAAATGAAATACGTTTTTTTCTTTTTTGTAAGGAGAGAAACCCGCTCTGTGCGTGCGCGCGCTCCTGCGTGTGTTTGTGCGTTACACTAGGTGGACAGAGAGACTGCATCAGACTGGAGACACACACACACACACACACACACACACACACATACGCCGGGGGGACATAATAGAGCAGATATATTCAGTCTTTGATGGTTCCCCCCACCACCACCACCACCACCATCTCCTCTCTGTTCCTTTTTCCTGCACAAKCGTCAGGATGCTGATTCCGGTCGGAGCATCATCATGGAGAAACACATGAAGAAAAAGCCCTCAGCTCCATTTTTCCCCCTTCTTCTCTCTAGCAGCTCAACAATAACGACATAATGTGGCTCGCTGTGCCGGAGGGAAAATAACCAAATATGTGGATACCCACAGAAGAGGAGAAAATCGGAGTTGGTGAGTTCCTTTTCTTTTCTCGGCTTGTATTCCTAAAAACGAGATCAACAACGACTAGGTTTTTATTTATTTATTTATTTATTTATTTATTTATTTATTTTATCTTTGCCGTCTGACGACGAAAAATTGGGATATTTTTCTATATGCAGCTCACCCCCCCTCCACCTCCCATTAGATCCAATGAGAAATGCATACACTTATAATGGCTGATATAGACGGCGGTGATTGCATGAGGAGGAGAAAAAAGGGGGAAGTTGCGTGGGATGATATAGCCCGCCGCCTTAAAGATACCACCAGGACAGCTTCAAAGCGTTCAACCCCACTCTTTAACCTATTCCTGCATTAAAACGTTCTCCTTTTTTTTTATATATGCGTCAGGATTTAGCCTTTCCCCCCTTCTTCTTACAGTATGTGGTGGAAAAATTCGTGCTCAAACCACCAGGGGGCGTCGTGGCCGCGTCCCTCCGACAACAGGTGTAGGCTGGAGTGGAGCTGGAGTCTACCTGTGGTCAGGAGGAGGCGGGCGGGGGTGGGAAGCTGCGGCTGCTGCGACAGGGACTGCACTGGATGTCGTTCCCTGCATGTTTGCACTTCAACATGTGGGTGACCGGGGTGGGT